GGATCTCATAAAAATGAGGAAGAGACAGAACTTGCGCATAGGACCATAGAAGGGTGGGATAGAAATTGGATAAACAGAGAGGAGAGGAAGGAGAATTCCAGATTAGAAAAGTGAGAGCCTAGATAAGTCTTTCCTTTCCTCTTAAAACGTATTCTGACTTAACTAAGCCCACAGGTCCTTCAACTTACAGGGAAAAAAACACATTCCATATTTTCTTAACAATTGCACATACACATTTGAGCTATTCAAGTGATTAAACATGTATTAGATTTTGATTGATCATATCTGGATCTTGCCTCTATATCCTTCTAACCTCCTCATGCTTTTTAAGTGGCTCTATAAACTTTATTCCCTTGTTCTTAGGGTCAAAACCAAAAAAAAAAACAGATAACCCCTATGACCTTAACAGCCTAGTATCTGAAATCTTAAAACATTCAAGGTGATCTCTTTCCTTGACTAAAATACTTCATAAGTCCTTATCTTATAATGAGAATAATCTCAATTTAACCTCTATTATTTCATTATGTGTTGGTTTTTAATATTTGATCTCGTTTTCACAATGATCACTTATTTGTTGCTAACTTCAGAAATTAATGTAGCTTTAATTGCAAAAAACTTCGTGGAGAGAAAAATAAAAGAAAGAGAACCTGGGGGTGCTTTGGCTTTTAACACTGAAACTCCTGGCACAGCCTGTGTCTGAGACAACCTTGGTGGTCTAGCAATATTGTATACGAGTCTTCTAGTTGGACAATAAACGACATTTGTGGATTTGTCCATGACCTCTCTTCTCCGTGCACTGGCAGTCTCTGGTGTCATCATTAATTAGTCTTCAGGTCTCCCATTTGTCTGCTAGAAAGCATCTCGGATAAGCCAAGTTAATTAATTGGAGCGGGCAAGCTGCCTGGCCACCGGAACGTGCGACTGTGCGGGGACAGTCAGAGGGCAGCCCTCTCCTTTGATGGTGTGGAGAAGTTTAATTCTAACAGGCCACGTGGGAGTCCCAGCCCATGGGGGTGCAGAGGGGACCTCCGAGCACAGCAGTGGAGCTGCTCTCATTTGTACTGGTTTCAGTTTCTAATTTCAAAACCGTGAGGTACTGAGGCCTAGGGGAATTGTTTTACATTTTGCTTCATCTTTCCCCAGGAGTTTGCCTACATTCTTCAGTGAATTCTCACAATGGGTGGTGGAACTTCGGCAAGGGAATGAAAATCATTATCCCTATGTTCTAAACAGGAGATTTGCACCGTGGCGTATTTCCATAAATATCGTGCCTAGCATCTGTAGTGAATAATCCCCAGCCATGACTCTCTTGCTGTGCTGACTTTGACATGTTTCCCAACCAATTTTACTAAATCATAAAAATAACAAATAATATTTATGAGCCTGCTTGCTAGTGCCAGGAATTCTGCAAACCACTATTCGTGCATTATCCCAGTTAATTCTCATGTTGTGCCTATTGGGGGGGTCCCCATTTTGCAGATGAGAAAAACAAGCTGCAGCCCACCTGAGACCAGGTGGGTCTCCATCCAAGGACAAGCTCTTTACCACCCCATGATATGGCCTCATAAAATTTGAGCCATTTGATGGGCACCCTATGGGCTCTGACACCACAGCCAGGACAAAGGGAGAGCCGCAATGATCAACCCTGTTAATTCAGGCAAAAGTAGAAGTTTTGCTTTTGTAATTGGGGAGACAAACTTTGCCTTTAACTTTGTTGTCATTAGGGAGAAATGCCCTTGAAGGAATTACTGTCATAGCTGCAATTATATCCTATTACAAAGTTGTAGGAATGTCTCATGTTATTTGTGTTGATAAAAAATAATTCTATATAAATGATACTATTAGAATTTGAATATAATAGAGGGTGATTTAAAGAATTGAAAGGACTCTCTCAGTTTGTTAATATATCATGAGAAATTCTAGCTCTCCTTTATATATGGCTACATGTGTTCTCAGAATCGTAGCTGGATATCATCAGAAAAGTTTATGTGGCCATGAAAGTTCCTTGAGAAATGCTGATTCTTCACAGCAGATGTCTTTCAAAGTGTATCTGATCAATGATCTGCTCTTGGCCTGCCCTCAGAACTACCCAATCATAATAATCATCTTTACTTCCTTGCTTATGCCTCACAGGGTAAAGTCATAGACATTTCTAGGGGTCTTTAAAATATACTAAGCCCTTTCAGGTCAGCTTGGGACACCTCACAGTGCTTGAGGAGTACAGAGACTCTGAACCCATGGCACAACTCTCCCAGAAAGGGAGGAGGAAGGGAAGAGACGAGCAGGTCACACTACAACCCTGGAAAGCTCACCTGAGTCGGGGTCAACATTGCTAATTTCATTTAGACTTTGCCCCCCATAAGAATCTAGGTAAGCTGAGGAAATCTGATGTTTTGGCCAGATGAGTGGAGCTCTCTAGAGAAGTTTGGGGACAAGAAAATGAAACCTACATGGTGACATCTCAGGGATTAATATAAGCACATGAATAAATATAATTAAAAGTAAAACATAAACACTATACAGAAGGTACAAGAGATGTTTAAAGAATGCAAAAATTTTGGACTGGAAAAACTTTATGGCGATGGTGGCATCTCAGAGAAACGTTTTTGGATGAACAGGACTTTGTCAGATGTAGTGGAAAGGATATATGAGGTGAGAGTAGAGCAAGAACCTCCGTGAGTGAAGGCACACAACTTGGGACATTGGTTGATATAATTAGGAAAAACTGAATAATTTTGATTTGGTTGCTCAAATATATGTGGGAAATAGAGCTGAAAGGAGCCATAAAAGGAAGGACCTTAAATCCCAGGCCCTGGAGTTTGAATTTAATTGAATTAGCAATGAAACCCGTTCATAGTTTTATCTCTTTTGTACCTTTTCCCTTGCTTTCAGTGGATGGTCTTGCCTTGTAACTTATAAAGACCAGAGAAAACTTAAACTTCCAAGTTAACTCTTGGTCTCTTTTCTCTCTTAAAAAAAAACCAGAAAAACAAAAACAAAAAAATAAAAAACAAAGATACCTTCCCCGCTATTCCCCATCTCAGTAAATGGCACATCCAGCCACCCATTGTTCATCCCTTAGCCTTTCTTCCCCCTCAGCCCTACACTGGATGGATGCATCAGCAAGGCCTATTTGTTTCACCTCCAAAACATATCCCAGATCTATCTTCTTTCTCTCTCTCCTCGGACACCACTCTAGCCCAAATAAAGCACCCCTATTTGGAGAAAAGAATAGTGGTGGGAAGAACCTACTTACTCTCTGGCCACAGGTCCATCTACTGGGAAGAAGTAAAGGGAAATCTGATAACAGTAGAGAAGTTATAAAATAGATATTACAGAGAGGACATATAAGCTTACAAAGAAAGGCAAAAATGTGAAAAAAAGGGATGTTTTGAAGCGATAGTTTGGCTGGTTTTAAGGAATTTGTTTCCCATTTGTCTTGAGGTAGGATTTGTATTTCTTCAATAAGGTAGATCATTAAAAGAATTACTCTTTGCATCCCAATCTCCTGGAGAGCATTGGAATGGTTGGCTGTCAGAATCACTAATAGCAGATATTCTAGATAAGCTCCATTAAAAACTTTTAGAAAATATTAACGGCAATGTCAATAGCCAGAGTGTGAATTTAGGTACTCCTGCCCTGTAATCTAGCATCCCTGTCTCATTACAAGAAACCCTGGATACCTCTGGGATTGTAGGGTGTTCTGACCTTGACTCAGAAAATGACAAAGCATTCCCTCAAGTCATGCTTTTACCTTCAGCACAGTCTTATAGTCTCCCAGAGTTGTCTAGGGTTTTAGCAATCTGGTTGGCAATGTTGCAGGTGAAACATGTCAGATAACTAATTTCAGAGGGCATTTGAATGGCTTCTTTTGCGTTTTCTATGTCTGAATGCTGATAGGCTTGTTGCTTTGCCTGTAGTAAAGGCTGTGGGATGCTAGTTTCTTTATGCCTAATTACTGGAAAGCAATTTCTCAGTGTAAATAAAGGTCCTCTTCCTGACCCTCTTCTTCCAAAATGCCTTACCTTTGTGTTTGTAAATTCCTCCAAGATCTATAGTATATGTTTCTCTATTTTTTTAACCAGGTGGCATGATTTCTTTATGGTGAAAATTCTAATGCCTTTATCTAGTCTCTTGGACAAGGATATATCAATAAGTTCTGGCCATGGTCAACAGACAAAAGGGATCATGACTCAGCTCTAGCTTTGGAGAAACGAATCCTTTCTTTCCCCAGTGCATTTCTGCAACTGGCACAAACATAGAAACCTTGGGGAGATGTCTCTTGCGTGGGTTAACTGCCTTTTGTGATGTTGAACTATAGTTTCTTGTGATTTCCATGCAGCCAAGTCAGAACTATCCAATTCAAGGCAACTTGACTATCAAAAAAGCAATCTATTACAAATTCCAGATATTCTGTCTCAAGTAAATCACATAAAGTTATTTCACATGTGCTAGCAGAGAAGCGTAGGTGAATGGGAAGCATACAGAGAAGACACAGTCCTCCTTAACCTGGGCTTAATTCTCATGCTAGGATGTGTGTATCACCCCGAGGAATCACCAGTTTGGCAGTCTCAGACAACTTGGAGGCCTGGAAATTTCTGGAAAATCTTTTTCAAGCTCTACTTTTGGAGTATGAATCTGAAGAGGGTCAGGGCCCTTAATTCCCTGGGACTAATACTCAAGTAGTTTTTGCCTCTTTTTATTTTGGGGAGATCAAAAACAGAATATTTTACCTGTCCCAGGTCAGAGATTAAGGAAAATTGAAGGATTATACATTTTCCTGTTCCTAAAAAGAGGTGTAGAATGAACGAATTATTTTTGTTGGTCTGTTGTTTCAATTTTGCTTTTTCCCCCTTGGAATTTGAATAAATACTGATTGACAAGGAGTCTGCACAATTGATATCCTGATATCCAAGTGCATAGCACCGTGCATAGCCCATTACAGGAGCTCAGCAAATATATGTTCTTGAGTAAATCTAATTCTAAATTTCTCTTCACAGTAAGTGAGAAACAGATGATGGTGGTGTGCAAGGAGTCCCCAAAGGAGTATCTCCAGCCTTTCAAGGACAAACTAGAGGAGTTCTTCCAGAAAGGTAAGAGGTCTTGTTGGCTATGTGTACACAATGCTGTGGAATATCCTTCATTCTGTGACTCTTTGAGGCCCGCCGCCCTCGCATCCTGGCTGACCATGGGCAGCTTCAGTGACTTCATTAGTCCGTCTTCCCATGGTGGTTACATACTCGATGTAGATGCAGTTGCCCTGCAGCTTTCATATCACCTTGCAAGTCCATTTTAATATTTTAGATCCTTTAATTTACTCCTTTTTTGGAAACTTTTTGAGGACAAACCTTTTTGTCTCTTCATGGAGCTCAAGGGGATTCTCAGGACATGCTCACTGACAAGTGAGTACGTGCAAGGCTTATGCAGTCGTGTGTTTAAGATTTGTGGTCAGCCTGGGCAGGTGGATGGTGATTATCTTCCTGGTTTTATGAGTGTAGCAATTTGGAAACTTGTATTTTCCATTCCTTTTCAAGTAGGAAAATTAGGGCCAAGTGAATGTCACACATCTAATGAGTTGGCACCTGTCAGCCCTTTGGGGTTAGTAAATGGAAGTGATATGCATGAGACCCAGTACTTGCTTAGAAATCTGAACAAGTTCTGTTCCTTCCCCCACAGTTTTGGCAAGAGTAGGAATAGGAAACTTTTGTTGATCAGGGTTAGTGAACATGAAAGTTTAATGCCTTTTAGATATTTCCTATTATATTTCTCAAGTTTAACTTAAGATGTAAAACAAAAACAAGGGTAGGTTGCAGGGAGCTTTTTTCTTTGCTAGAAAGCCAGAGGAAATGCATGTAGGAACCTTTGGGATATTCCAGCATGTTGTTTCTATTATTGAATAAGACCACATGATACCACACCATCAACAAAAGACTGTTAAGCAGGGTGAATCTATAAAGTATGGCCAAACCACCTGGAGAATCAGCAGGGAAATTCTCAGTCTGTGAGTCAGAGGAACTCCATTTCAGCTGCTCCCTTGGGCCAGAGATCATTGCTTCCTCCTCCATGACAAGAGGTTGCTTGTATTGAAGCAGAAGTCAGAGTTCTCTCTTGGACATTGCTGAACCTCATATGTGATGGAAGAAATGCAGCCAGGCAAAGTACCACCTTGAGAGCAAACAATGATACCAACACTTATGTGCTACGTGACTATAATGGGTGGATTTTATATATGACTAATCAAAATAATTGCATTGCTTTATAATTATACCATGTAAATATAACCTAAGTGGCCTAAAGAAAAGCATGAAATACTTTCCTTTGCTGACCCCCAGTTAGTTAGTGTCTGCTTTTAACATGATGAAGAATTAACTTGAAGTGATGCTCATGTGTGTTTCGATTCCATTTTTATTTTTAATTGCCATTATTCTGTATCTGGAAAAATCTGCAATGTGTATGTCAGAGTATTATCCGCCTGCATGCTGTAACGGCCTCAGAGTCCTTCCTCTTCAAACCAGCTAGCATCTTAAAGTACTTACATTGTGAATTTTATTCTTTTTGTTGAAAAGAGATAAATATGAGTAGATTTAGAAACTTAAGGATCTTCTTTGGTACCTTGAAAAAGGAATTTACAAATCACCCTTTGGGGTTATGTGTTAACCTCTTCTCCACTACGTCTCTCAAGAAAATTCTGGTCTATTCAGAGAAAAAGAATTGAGGCAAACTGGATCTTGTGACAGGGAAGCAAGGGTGTGGCCATAGTAAGCTGTTCTAAGAAAAAACTACTGTCCTAGAACAGTGGTTCATTAGAATCACCTGGGGGAGATTTTTTAAAAAAAATCTTGACACCCAGCCAAACTGTAGACCCATCACCAGCATCTCTGGAGGTGAAACCTGGCATCAGAATTCTTTTTTACTACCCAGTTGATTCCAATGGGAAATCCAGGTTGAGAACCACTGTTGTTGAGCTTAGTTCACCTTTTAATGTGTATTCAAAGATATTTATTCAGAGCCTGCTATACATTAGGCATTGTAATAGCACTGGGAATGCTAAGATGAATCATATAGTACATGACCTTCTCCCAAAGACTGTCTTATTGGGAAAAGATCCATAATTTAATACAGTCGGCTCTCAAAAATAATTTGAAGGAAGCATTACCATTCTATTAAAAAACTTAAGAATATAACAATATATAATATTGTAGGAATCTTAAACATTCCTAATATCGTATGGTGAAAAGTCTACTGTTGAAATAGCCTGTTACCATGATCTCATTATAACTGAGTTGCTCCAAAAATAGCCCAGAATTGTCCCGTCCAATATGGCAGACACTAGGCACATGTGGCTGTAAGCAACTAGAATGTGGCTAATCCAAATCGAGATGTGCTATAAGGATGAAACACACACCGGACTTTGAACATGTGAAATACTTCATTTCTGATGTTTTATATTGATTAAATGGTAAAGTGATAATCTCTTAGATATATTAGGTAAAATAAATTAACATTAATTTATGAGAAAGTTAATAATTATATTAATAAAATATAGTAACATTAAATTATTTATTTCTTTCACTATTTAAGTGTAACTACAAGAAAATTTACAATTTTATTTGTGGTTCACTTTCTGTTTCTATTGGAAAGTGCTAGTCCAGAGACATGGTCCGTAGGCCTTCCTCATCTCATTCCTTTGCTCTCCTCTTCACATTGTCGCTCTACCTGCTCAGCTTGAATACTGCATTATTGCAATGCAGCTTTACAAGCTAGCCCCCTACCCACTTTTGCTCCAGGTCTGGCCCTTATTTGCTTCTCAGGCAGGGCCACTTAAGTGAATGAAGGAGGCGACAGCATGCTACTGCATCAGGCTACACCTCTATGATTCCAAAATGTATGGTTAGGGTCTGTAGTTAAGAAATATGTTATAACCACTAGCAATATGATATAGCTCAGTGTCTGGGGTTTTGACAAGTTGCAGTATATACAAATAGAATATCTCTTAGCTACTCTTTGGAGTTCAACATAGTAGTCCCTTTTTTATGTAGATATTTCACTAATTGATAAAAAATGTAGTATTTTCCACCCACCACAAATATGCATTATTCACCCTGGATAATCAAATATTTATGACAATTGTCATACAGTTTAAGTATAGCGATTTATCTAATATGCCATTTATTGTAAGAAATACCATTATTACATGTGCTATTAAGAAAGAAAAATCGCTGCCAATTAAACTATGACATGCAAAGTATATGATGTACCCCAATAACAGATGTCAAAATGTGAAAATTCGATCAATTTTGGAGTTGATATAATATGAGACTATAGTTAGACATATAGAATCAAAGAGGAGGAATCCCCAGCACTTCTAGGTAAATCATGTAAGACTTTCAGCAAAGGCGATATTTTTGTTCAGACTTGGAAAAAGAACAAAGCTGATGACAATGGTACCTAACATTTACTGAGTGCTTCTACAGGCTATATACGGTGCAGAGCAAATCACCTTCTTACTTAGTCCTCATGATGACCCTCTGAAGTGAGCATTATTATCACTCTGTTGTATAGATAAGGAGATTGAGGCTTAGGAATTCTCAGCAGACAAGCTGCAAAGGGCATCCAAGGCAGAGGAAAACACTGCATATGTCAGAAGAAGGATGGAAGGCACGATGTGTCTAGGGAATGGCAAGAGACTTGGTGTGGCTAGATCACAGGGCATATGAGAAGAACAGAAGACCAAAAAGATAAAAGTCACAGTATAATTTGCTAAAGAATATGAGCTTTGTCATATAGGCAACAGATAATACTGAAAAATAGTGTGTGCAGGAGGAGTGATATGATCGTATTGGGTTTGTTTGTTTTGTTTCGCTGTGTGGGGTTTTTGAGGGAGGATCACTTTGCTTTTTGTTGTTATTAAGAAATACATTATAACAAACAGCTATATAAAAAGATTTGGGCAGGGCACAGTGGCTCACACCTGTAATCCTAGCTACTCAGGAGGCTTAGGCAGGAGGATTGCTTGAGCCCAGGAATTCGAGGCTGCAGTGAGCTACGTTGACATCACTGCACCTCAGCTGGGGCAACAGAGTGAGACCTTGTCTCAAAAAAACAAAAAGAAAGAAAGAAAGGGAGAGAGAGATCAATCTGGATGAGCTATAAACTAGTAAAGAACTTGAGCAAAAGCAATGGCAATAAAAATAAAAAAAGGAGGAACATACTGTAAATAGTAACAGGCTGTTTTAGGTGTCGCAGGACAGGATGATCAATTGGAAGTGCAAAATGAAACAGCAGAAGAGGATAACGCTCCTTTTTCGTGCTTGGATAACTGGCAGGATGCTGATGAGGAAGACTAGATTCGGGATGGAAGACAGTGAGGTAAACTTTGGACATGTTCACTTTGATGTACATGTGAGAGACATGGGGAGAGATGTGCTCATGGGAGTGAGCTGGTTGAGACTTTAGAGGTAGCAGTTTAAGTGATAGGAATGAATGAGATAACAAGATAGTCCAAAGCAAGGGTATAGAATAAGAAGGTTCCTGAAGTATCAGAGTATCTGAGCACAGGGTATCATGGAAAATAACCATAATTGAGAAAAGATGTTCCTATACTTCTATAGTATAGCTTATACAGAGTATTTGGCAAGAAAGCCAATTTTCCATTAGGGGGTCTTATCACTAATAAAGTCTTAAGCAATTGCATTCTGTGTGCCTGAGAAGTCGCATGCATTGTGACTCAGGATTATTTGCACATAAGTTGCAATTCAGTTCTTCTAACAATCATGATGATTTAATTTTTCTTTTGTAAATCATATCCTGTTGCCACACTCCAGTGGAGATGATGTGTTTGTCCTTATGTCTTTTATCATCTTTCTGTTCTCAAAATGCCCTTAAATAGCATTATTTGACAAAACCATAGTACTTGTTCTTGATGAATTTCATTTCCTGAGCAGAATTCAAAGTGATTTTAATGGCACCACTTTTCAGGGTTTCAATCTCCGCAGTATCTAAACCTTTCTTCTTACCTGTTTTTTTTTTTCCACAGTAGGCTCTTGTTGATTCCAGTTTACAGCTCAGTTCAGAGTAACCTCGTGCAGGCATT